TGGGGGAGGAGGAGGGAGGAGATGTTGGCGGGGAAGGTGGTGGCGACGGGCGGCGGAGGAGGGAGGGGCGGCGAGCGGAAGGAAGGAGAAGGGAAGAAAGATTTGTGCGGTGGAGGAGAAGACGATGAAGAAGATGAAAATGGAAGCTTGGGTTGTGTGTGTTGGTGGTGTCTGGGTTGGGGTTGGGGTTGAGGTGGTTGTGTTGGAGGGGTAGCCACTCTTGGGAAGAGTGGTTGGTGGAGGACACGGCGAGGCTGTGCCAAACAAGAACCGAGAAAAAGGCATAAAACGAGGAGAGTGATGAAGGTTGAAGACATGTTGTTTAATGAATGAGAATGAGAATGGGAATGTAGTTGGAGTTAATGAAGTGGTGTGAGAGAGTGAGACTGGTTGGAAAGAGAGGAAGACTGGTAGGAAGTGTGGTGAAAATGGTAGTTCTAGTTCTAGTTCTAGTTCTAGTTCTAGTTCTAGTTCTAGTTCTAGTTCAAGTTGTGTTATTAGTTCAGGGTAGTGTTTTGTTTGGACTCTTATTTGGATTTTATGCTAATGTTGGAGCAGTAAAAAGCACGACACGAGTGCTACTGCTTGTGCGTAGCATGGTGAAGAAGAAGAAGATGATGATGATGAGAGTGAAAAGCCAGAAAAGGGAATCATGGTTGTAGCTATGCTTCATGCTGTGCTGTGCTCTCTCTCTCTGTCTGAAAAGTTGCGATCTTTTCCTTGTCCTCATGCTGTGACAGTCATTTCTTTCTCACCAACAAAACCTATTTTCCATTGCATGTTGCGCTACATACATACGTCCATATACTACATTCGTTCTATTATCATCATTCTCACTCATCACTAAATAACTTTAGTTTCTCATTAATATTTTTTATGCCCTATTTATTATACAAGCTTTAACTCTTTATTATAATAAATAAGTTAATAGAAATAATGTTATATTTTAATAAAGAAAAGTTGACTCCAGAAGGTTATATTCTTTTTTTCTTTATAAAATAGAGTTTAATTACAATTTTTTTTTATTTCTAATATTATAATTATATAATTTTGATTTTTAAAATTTTAATTAAGTAATTTTAGTTTTTCAATTTTGGTATCTAAAATTTGATTAAACATTTTTAATCTTTTCAATATCGTAATAATACAATTTTAGTCTCTTAACTATTATAATTATATAACTTTTGATCTATTAAATTAATATATTATAATTTTTATTTATCTATTAAGTGATATATATTTATTATTAATAAAATTATTAATATATGTAATTTAAATAAGTAAAATTTTGTATAATTATAATATTTGAGTGACTAAAATCATATAATTATGATGTTTTATCAACTAAAATTACTTATTTAAAAATTAAGATATTAAAATTATACAACTGCAATACTTGAAGAACTAAAATTATTCAATTAAAATTTAAGGAATTAAAATTAAATAATTATTATACTTGAAACATATTTAAATCTAAAAATAACTTTATGAAAAATATAATTAAAAAATCTGAAAAATTAATGTTTTTAAAATTCTTACTTTTTTTGAAGTAAAAGATTTTTTTATTAAATTAAATATGATAAACTAACATCCTTAATTTCATATTCTTTGAAAACTGACTTTTTTTTATTTATTTACCACTTGCGTTTCTTAATGTAAATAAATTTACAAACAAATCGTTAATCCAAGTAAATTTTTGTAAAATATCACTATTTTAAAGTGACGTAGAAAATTTTATTTAATATATATATTTTCTATTAATTATATTAATAAATAATATTATTAAGATAATTTTATTTTATAACATTATTAAAATAAAAATAAATAATGTGATATAATAATGTTATTAAAATGAAATAAATGACGTGCTTATAATAAATTATTATTTTTAATAATGCCATTTATTAATTTAATAAGTTGAAAACTGATTTAAATTAAATAATGTTTTTTACATCAACGATCAAGATTAATAGATGTCAAATTATTCATAGAAATATAATTACATATTTTTAAATTATAGAAATTAAATATTTCAATTTTAAAATGGAGAAATAAAAACTAATTTAACAAACAAAAATACACTTTTAATCATACTTATTTAAACATAATATCATTTAGTTATTTTTTTTATTGAAAATCACAAAAAATATGTAGGTCATTTGGGACTAATATTTTTATTATAATAAAGATAAACACTAGCGACATTTTCTATAATATCTTTTATTAATAGTTGAAAATCATAAATTTTTATGAGTTTTATCATTAAATTAAAAGAAAGATTCATTAAATGAAATATAATATAAGATCTTCAAAATTTATGATTTTTAATAAATTTCAATTAATAATAAATATTTCTTTTGATCCTTATTATAATACACAATTTAAAAGAAAATAATAATCTTCTATAATATATTTTAAATTTTTATAAAATATATTTTTTATTTTTATGCGATGATATGTGTCTTTTATTATTAAATAATAAAAAATAAAAAAAAATTTAGAAATTAATATTTAACTATCCAATTATCTTTATATTTTAACAAGATATCGAGAGAGGGACATAATTTTTAACTTTCTCAAAACTTGATACAATATTCACGAAAACAGAAATTTGTTAAAGTAAATTTTGTAACAATGTTAAAGTTTGGGAATGTAAAATGTAATTAAACCAATATTTTATATTAATTTATTTATTTTATAATGTAGATGTTTATTATGTTAAAAAAATTTCTGTAAATCCTTGTTTACTATGGTCAATGGTAACTTTTGTTTTTTTTTTATAAATAAATTAATATTATGATTCATTTGATGAAATAAGCTAGATTAAATGGTATTATGCTTTAAACACCGCTTAACTTAAATCTAAGAACATGAAGAGGTGAAAGAATGGGCAGCCGTTGAACCAACTTACATTGATATGATATCGTTGTGATAAAATTATACATAAGTACGTGCTAATGTTCATAATGTAGATTTTTTAGGCTACAACATTTTTTTTAACATTGTTGTTTTATTATAATTGATGTTCATAATGTAGATTTTTTAGGTTACAACATTTTTTTTAACATTGTTATTTTATTATAATTGATATTTATTTGACGCCATTGTATATAGCTATAAGAACTATAATAAGTGCAAAATTTGTTAGAAAGCTATTTCTTTTGAAAAAAGGTTCCTATATATAATATTTGTCACTTAATTCATCGACATTTAAAAAAGTAATTATTTTAATTTTTTTTAGAGAAAAAAGTAATTAATTTAAGTAATAATTATAAATTTATCTTATATATATATATATTTTTTAAAATTATTCTTATATTACTTTTTTTTTCCTAATTAATATTCATAAACACATTTTTTATTATTAAATATAAACAAATTTTAACTATTTTTTTCTCATTTAATGATACTCCTTCAAAAATATATCTTCTTTAATAAATGACCTTTTAGTTATACTATTTTTCTTAACATTTATAACAAGAATAATTTAGGAAGAATTATATAAAATTAGTAAAATTTAATGCAGATAACAAAAGGAGTACTATTTATCCCTGCTAGTTAATAATTACCTTTCTTCTAACCAATTAAAGTGCATACTCTTTGAATAGTTTATAATTAATGTATTTTATTAAATTAAGAAAACAAATTTTAATTAAGCGTATTTTAGCATAAAAAAATTAATAGATAAAATAATATGAATTAGGTTTTATATAAAGGAACAAATAATTGTCCTAAGTTGAATCTTATAAATAGGAATAGAGGTTTTGGAAAAGATAAAATTGATTCTTATGTAAGACTTTTCAGGGGTTGCTACAAGTCATTACAACCCAAGTGGGTTTTCTTGTATTAGTTTGTGAATTTTTTATTTCTATATTATAAGCTTTTATGATATTTTTTTAATCTTTAGATGTAATTGTCTATCCAACGAGAATGGATGTATGTTTGAGTTATAAGTTAAAAATGGGTGAACTTATTAGGAAATGCATTGGCTCAAGAGATTTGTCAACTCAAAAGGGATAATTTTTTTAGCTTTGTGCGCTTGTAAATTAAAACATCTAAAGTTTTGACTTAGATGATGACTTTAGTTTGTATATTATGCCAAAAAGAAAATATTTTATTATACTAACCTCACTATAGCTTATTTCATTCTAAGTTATATCATGATCAATATTTCTATGCATTGATGTTTTGTCTTAATAATTTTTTTCTAGTATAAGGTTATTGGAAAACACATTGGTCTAAGGATTTGACTGTCTTAAAGGGTCAATCTTTTAACTTAATAATTTACATTCCATTAATTGTCATTATAGATATAATTTTTTTTTTTTCAATCTTTGGAAATTTATTTTTATCATTTTTGACAAAGTGAATCTAAGAATTTAAAAGTAATTTTTTTAATTTAATTTAATTGTGATTTCACTTAAATATAATAATAATAAATAAAGAATATATTATAAATATTAATCTATATATATATATATATATATATATTAATTTTTTAACACAATATAAAGAAAATGTCTTTATAAATCACGATGACATGGTTTTTACTTTTAATATATTAAGTCTGTAAATTTTTTTGTGCTTATTTTTTTTATAGTGAATTTCTAAGTTGATGGTAAAAAAAAGTCTATCACTTATGTAGAATGATTTTTAAATATTAGATATATTATTAAAATAATTAGATAACATATTAATTATTTAATTTTAGTCATCTATTTATTTTAATAATTTATATGTAAACCGTTAATTTGTCTATTCAAGTATTAATTTTTCTTCTAAATAGTTCTTAAATTAATAAGATCATATATATAGTTTTTAAATTGTTATAAATCATGTTACATAATTCTTATTAAAGTATTTTAAAAAAATTTCACATTAGTCTTTTAATGTTATTAACAAAATATATTAATATAATACTAAATGGATGAATTTGAAATATTTTAAATACTTTTTCACTATATAAAAAATTGTCATATAGTGACACATCCTATAATGACACAATATGTGTCATTAAGAACTATTTTTATATCCATATTATAAATATAATATATGTTGGTATACATTGACGGATCTACATTGTGAGTAGTGGGGGCACTTGCCCCCACTATTATTTCACACATACATATTTTTTTATCTAAAAAAATAATATATTTTAAAAAATAAAAATTTTATTTTAATAAAATAAAGATATATGTTTAAATTATCATATGTATAAAATATAAATTCATTTATTTGATATTTGTCAAATTTTTGAAAGAAATTAATTCTCTTATTTTAATTATAATATATATATATATATCTTAATACTCACATATATAATGTAATATATTAAAAAATCAATTTTTGATAAAATAAAATTTGCAGTATGCATGTTTACTTTTTGTGTTTTCTAGTTATTGTATATGTTAATTAAAAAAATAAAAATATTAAAAATTGGAAAATTCATGTTCTATTTAGAACTGTTATTATAAAATATATTTTAAAATAAATTATCATATAAAAATATATATTAGAAATTAAAAAATATGTTTATATCATAAATAAATTAAACTTAATTTTTATAAAATTTAACATATTTATTTTATATTTTTAATAGTGTTAAATTATTATAAAGTAAGTCTTTAAGATTGTAGTTCTAACTAAATATTTAAAAAGTGTCTATGATAGATAAATAAGTCATATTTAGGATATATATTTTTAAAGAAAGTTAGGTTCAAACCTATTAAATTATAATAAAATTTAATTTGATCTAATTTATTTTCATATTCACTTGTAATCGTA